ATGAAAAAGACAGTGTTGTATAATTGCTTCATTGTTTTCAACAAAGATGGCAGTGTAGTAACAGCTTATGATGGTTGCCCAGCTGGAGTTGACGGGCGTTGCAACCATGTAACTTCAACACTATTTGCACTGGAGGAGTTCTTCAAACAAAGTAAAGCACCTGTAAATCCTTCCTTAACCCCTGCACTTTCTTGCACTTCAAAGCCATGTGCATGGAATGTCCCAAGAAAAAGAAAGATTGACAATCTGCCAATTGCCAAAGCCAAATTTAAAAAACATCAACATGGCAAACTAAGCAAGAGTGAGGATAAATCTCCTCCATCAACAAGGGATGTTAGAGCACCACACCAGCAGTACCCGAATACAAACACTGACATGTATAATTTATTGCACCGTGTCAAGGAGATTGAGAATAAGACAGGCAAGAAAATGGCCTTAAGTCTCATTTTACTGCAGAAAACTTTGGAGGAAAATAAAGAAACGATTTTGGTTGAACATAATTACTGCACACCCTTGACTCACATTGAACCAGTTGAACCAGAACAAGGAAATGGTAGTCCAGTGTCAACTGAACTGTTATCACCAGTGAAATGCCATCCAGTGAGTTTGGAAGAAATAAAGGAAAGGTGCATAAAAGTTAAGAAAAGGCTCTTTGCTGATGAAAAGGATGTTGATCAAATTGAAAAAGAAACCATGGGCCAATCAGTAAATGAAAACTGGAATCTGCATCGAAAAATAAGAATAACTGCATCTAAATGCCATCGAATTGCCACTCTGCAAGCAACTACCTCCCCTACAAAGGCCATTAGTGAAGTCTTACATTACAAGCAGATCCCTCAAACAATTTATATGAAAGAGGGCTTGTCAAGAGAAGGTGCTGTTATTGCAGAATACATCAAATCAAGGAAACTGAACAATCAAAATGTCCTAGTGAAACCATGTGGACTTTTCATCAGCAAATCACATAATTTCTTGGCTGCATCTCCAGATGGCTTAGTATACAATGCCGACTCCACTGAGCCAAGTTCCAGTGGACTTATTGAAATAAAACTTGTCTTCCTAAAGGAGAATGAGACTTTGCATGATGGACTTATCAGAAAAAGAATCTTTCTTCCTGGTTCAACTGATGGACAGCTGGTTATCAACCAGAAACACAAGTATCACTATCAAGTCCAGCAACAGTTGTTTGTTACAGAGAAATCATGGGTGGATCTGGTGATTAAGGGAGTTAAAGAGCTTACAGACAGATCATTTGTAGACATTGAAGGTGTTTTCATTTCGACAGTAAACTTTGATCGTAAATTCTGGAGTTCAGTGCTCCCAAAACTGGAGGCATTTTACAATGAGCACATTCTTGTAGAACTTGCTTATCCGCGTGTTAAATATGGCCTTTCAAGATTTGACATGAGAGGATGTTGACTGACGTACATAATTAATTTGCTAAACTGGTATGTTGTTGAACTTACTTTCCTACATTGGCCTTCGATGCCCACGAATAATGATTTTAATTCAAGGTTGGGGTGAACAATTTTCATGTGGTTTGATAAATTTACAATAATTTTGTCTGCGCCAGAATTGACTTGAAATCATTGTTCGTAATCACTTAGGTTGAATTCGGGAAAGTTCTATGAAAGGCATTAATAAGATAAAACTCACTCCATGTAAACAAGGCTGAACCTTAAATCTAAAATAATATCCCCAAGAAATTTAACGTGTGTAATTTACTTTGTGTGTATGGCTTTTTTTAACAGAAGGAGCTCAAATACACAGATTATAATACATAATAATCAAAGTCTGAGTGAACAATCTTGCATATTATTGAAGATGAGGCAAATCAAGAAAGGTTATTAAATAAGATTCCACTATCTGCTTGGAGAAAAACATTGCTTTATGTACAAGTAGAAAGTGAAAAATTGTTGTATGGTTCCAGAAAGTCCATACTCACCCAATGAAAGGGCTTCGAAAATCTGAGGGGAGGGGGACCCAACAGCCAAAGTTTATTAGGGAAAGTATGAAGGCAAACTAGAAATTCCGGGGGGGGGGGGGGGCGGCGGGGGTTGGAAGGGTTTAAATGAAAAAACCCTCCTATGGGGAAGTATGGACATTTCTGGAATCATGCATTACACTTTAATCAATGAGAGGTGGTAAAAAGTTTGTAAGTGCCCCTATGATTATAAACATGTCACTAGCAATAGGAGCCAATGTTAAAGGAATTCTGCTGTCAAAAATATGCCAGTTTTTCATCCTTTCAATACATCTCTCAACATGTATTCTCAGGCTAGCAATTTTTTTGTTGTGTGCCATTTCTTCTCTGCTGAACTGAGTTTTTCCTTTAAGAAAAGAAGGTATGTTTACAGTAACCCCTTTTGCAGCAAAGTCATCTTGTATGTCAAAGCCTTTGTCTGCCATGACATCGTCCCCAGGATGCAAGTAGTCAATCACATGAGACATTTTGGTAAGCTCCTTGTCACTTATGCTACCAGTGTAAAGCTCGCTTAAAAATCCCAGGGCTCCAGTGGGCGAAAGACCAACTAGTCCTTTCATAGTTGTTGTTCCTTTATACGAGGAATAACACACTGACTGCATGTCAAGTGATGAGGGGCTCTCTGCTCGAATTTCAACAGCATCAATAATTAGAACTGTCCTTGGATAAAGTTCCTTGAAAATGTTTGGCATGAACTGATGTAGAAGCTCTCTCCTGGGGAGGCAAATTAAAGGCTCCAGTTCAATCCTCATAAACCGAATCCAAGTGTTAAACACAACAGAAACAGTAGTTTCAGAAACATTAAATCTGTGTGCAAGATCCTTTTGAAACAAGCCAAGCCTAAGTCTCATTAAAGTCAAAACAAACTCTTCAAATAAAGTCAATGCTCTGGGCCTTCCAAGCTTTTGCTCTGAACCACTGTCTTTCTTTTCGTAACTGCCATAGTTCAGGTTCTGAGCCTTCTGACTGACCAGGTCATAAAGGAGCATAAGTGCATCCCAGTGGGGAAGGCCTGTGTAAAATTCGACATCTTCAGGGCTGTCCTTAAATTTTACAATGTCAAATTTCTGATTTTTCGTTACATGCTGAAGTCTCTTTAACTCCCTTGATAACTTGTCTCTCTCCCTTGCCAACCTTTCCTTTTCCTCTCTCATCTCTTTAAGTTCGGCTTCCATTCGATCCAGCATTTCTACAGTCATTTCAGTTTGTGTCGCTGCATCGCAAAAAGAGGCCGGAATGGACTCCTCGTGATCAATTTCAATAAGAGTCCCTTCGTCAATTTCGGTAGAAGATCCCACGTCCACTTTTCTTTTCTTGCTTGCTGTATTTGCAGTCGCTTCCGTTCTGGACAAAATCCGTCGCTCCTTTTCCTTCTTGCTCCAAGGAAATATCGATGGAAGGTGAGTTCTGCTGAGCTTACTACCTCCAGTCCAATGCACAGAGCAAACGCGTGTACTGTCGGACTCTATCTTCAAATTATCATTTCTTAGTAAACGGACATATTCTCTGCGAATACTTTCATCTTTTGGAATTCGATAAAACGTCAATCCGAAGGAGTTTCTGAAATTATTGGTGCACAAAGGCACACAACAACTTACGTGCTTGGGCATAATTCAAGATGGCCGACTTGAGCGTCCCCCAAACAATCCCATAAGTGCTTGCGTGGCGACTTCGGTTCCAGGCTACCGCTCTTTTCCAAAGTGGGCTATGAGTATGGTACAATTCAATCTGAACCACCCTCAAAAATTATTCTCATAGGTCACAATTAGAATGTTTATTAGTTTGAATTGGTTAAATTTCATTTTATTATTTACAAATGTTAGTTATCTATCTAGTGCCTTCATGATGAAGGCACTAGACAGGAGTGTCGAAACGTTGGGTCTATGAATTGTAACTTCTTCGGTTACATTCATTAAATCTGCAAACCAGTGTAGCTTCAAACTATGTCACAAAATATACTTGTTTAAGATGCCAGGAATACTTCTGTATTCCCTGTTCTGTGTTCAAGAATGATGAAACTGTCAAGGGCTGAAAAGCGGGCACTTCAGTCATATTGTGAGCCATGTTTCCGAGAAGTTATGGAAGAGAGCGAAAAGGTTGCAGGTAAATATGATTCTGATGAATCCCGCAAAGATCGAGATCTTGCAAAGCAGGAAGAACGGTCTTCTAGAAAAAGGAAATCAGTAGTGGTATCCGCTCACTCAGGGCTGATTTTTTCGAATTCTCCCAACCTGACCTATGACGTAAATGATGACGTCATCAATTCTAGAGAGGAGAATTGACTTTTTGATCCTATGACGTCATCCCTATCACCATAACAACCTGACCTATGACGTTATCAGTTCTAGTGAGGAGTATTGACTTTTTGATCCTATGACGTCATCATTATCACCATAACAACCTGACCTATGACGTCATCAATTCTAGTGAGGAGTATTGACTTTTTGATCCTATGACGTCATCATTATCACCCTGACAACCTAAAAGTGGGTTAGGTTCGAATGAATATATATATGTCACGTTTCGATCTTTCCGATCCATGTGGTAACTTAAAAAAATGCGCATGCGTAGTTCTTAAAAATGACTTCCCAGTCCCCCTCTCGTGTGAGAGCATTAAACCCGTATCTCCCGTGACAATGGGGCACGCCTCGAAGGGTTGGTTACCTTCGACTTGTGTTTTGATTCCCTGATTGCTACGAAAGATGCGGGTGGGTATCATCGAGTAGTCATCTCGACTCATTGTCGCTGGGACTATTTACACTATTTACAATTTTTTTTTTTTTTTTTTTTTTTTTTTTTTTTTTTTTTTTTTTTTTTGGTAAAAGAGGTGAGATGAAGCTAGGTGACCGTCAGAATAAGAATTAGAGAGAAGTGAGCAGTTCAGACACGTGCGCGTCCTCTTCCGTCCACTGCTCATACCCATACGGGAAGGTTTGGAACGTGTGAGGATTCACCACGCGCTTGTTGTATACCAATTTGTATTTTTTTTGTTGGGCCGTGGTGGACAATTGGTATTCTTGGGCGTTCCTCACGATTTTGTATGGTATGGGTACGGCAGTGACGCGCGCCTCGCCAGACTCCAGTGGGGAAGTTAAGTCTTCTAGCACGTTATTTTTTAGGATTTCAAAGTTGACATGTTTCTGCCCCAGACTATTAAGCGTGATGCCCCGAACTTTACAGTCCTCTTTACCTTTATGGGTCTTATACCCGTAGTTTTTTGGACCTCCAGAGGCAAATTCCACTATATAATCGTCTGGGGGCAACTCGTCCTTAAAGTCCCCCAGATAATCTCCCAGTGGTGGCTCGGGCATTCCCTGGGCAGAAAGGAACACGACTGAGTCCGTGTCTTTGTAGAGTACTCGCTCTTGTAAGATGTCGAGAGCGTCATAGAGCTTTAGACGAGCCCAACAGGTCGTGAAACAGGCCACGAATATATTCAGGTTTGGCGAGATGGATTCGTCTTCCTCTTCTAAAGTGTATTGTACTTCCACCCGATCATCTGACTGTATACCAACGTACTTGATATTGACGGTGTCACTATTACAGAATGTGGAAAATTTTTTGGGGTCATCAAATTCCCGGACTTGTGTCTTGTTGGTACGCTGACCAAATTTACCCCACATGGAGTTTAACATCATCTTGGCCAGCGTACGCAGTCCGGGATTTTTCTCGATCTTTTCCGGGTCCAATTCGATCCCCTCTTTGTCTCTGTAATCAGCCAAGTGTCGTTGACGTTTCAGGGGATCGTCGCCCACGTGACTCGGCCACCCGCTGGCCTCTTCCTTGATCTTGAGCCACGTGTTTACGTAGTCTTTGAAGAGCCCTCTGCGAGTGGTTGGGAAATGCCACACTTCGTGTACACAGACGACTGTGTATCCCTTCTCAATAGCCTTGAGGAGTTCTGGTGTGCACCAGGTCCCTACGAGTTGGCGTTCCGAATCCGTGTGAGTACAGACGGGAGTACGCTCCAGAAAGGGTTTGGACATTTCCTCGGCCACGCAGGAGGCACAGAGCGGAAAGGTGAGTTTGCCAGCGTGACGGTAAGGTAGCACGGGATGGAAGAGACCGTGGGGTGGAAGCACCGTGCATTTCGCTAAGCCGAAATAACGAGAAAGGTCTGTATGACCGGGTTGAGAGATGATCTCGGGATGTCCCAGAGGGTACTTACCGTTCTTGTTGACCCACGGGTACAGAGACATGAAATCGAAGTAACGAATCTTTTCCCCGCGAGTCTCGTCTACCTTGTGGTAGAGTCGTAAGGCGTTCGTACGACCTCCGAAGAACGCATCCCGAGGATTTAGAGGGGCCGAGAGATTTAGGGCATCAACGAACGCGCAAACATCTTCGCGTTCTCGTTTCAGTTTTTCCCATTGACACTCCCAAATTTCGACTACCCTGAAACCTCGATTACGCAGTAAGTCGAGTTTGACCTGCGTGCAACGGTACACGTCGTCAAAGCACCTATCGTCGAGGCGGCGATGGGATTCGGTGCGATTGGAATAGCAGACCGGACAACCATGCCAAAAGCAGCCTTGGAACTCGTAGACAGTGTTGGTTTTCTCATGGTATCCGTCTACCGTGTACCGGGAATGGGGAATCCGGTACTCGCCAGAATTGCCCGCATGTCGGATGTAATCGTCTTCATCCGGTAACTGGTGCTGTTGCCAGTGGAGCCATTCCAGGGCGACGCGAGAATGATTGGTGTTCAAGCGCCACCCGTGGAGCGGTTCGTTGGCGATCGTGTCAGCTTCCATGCGGTTCTGACGGAGATCCCGGTTGCAAGCAGAGGCGATGGTGATGTGGGAAAAGGGATTGAAGCGAGCCAGAGGCTCGAATACGGACTTGAAGGAGAGACACCCCTGCTTGAGGAGTTTGACGTCAGACTCGCAGTATTCAGTCAACTCCTTTTGGAAGTCGTAGATGACGTTGGCCAAACGTTGTCGAGTATGCCACGCCTCAAAGTCCCGTCGCGCAGATACAGACATGACGTCTGGCATGAAGCAGGAAGTGTCAGGAATGCGACCGACGTAGGATTGATTAGAAAGGGTGTTGAAGAGATGCGGAAAATACCCCTTCTTGAGTTCGGTGAGACCGAACGTCTTGGGAAAGGCCGAGAGCGGCATTTGGAAGAAGGAGAGAGAATCTATAAAGGTGATGCGATCAAAGGTGACCTGCAACAGCTTGGCACCGTTCCTCAACTGCTGGACGATGCGGTGTTGACGATGGTATTCTTCGACGACAAAGTAACCGTCGTACCCTTGGAAGTTGTGGGCCAACACCTTGACCTCTCGGCTGTCCTCCTCCGTCAACGTGTCCAGCCACTCCAAGAAGTCACGCATGCACGAGTCTCCCCGGAAGCGGACTGGACGCTCGTCGTTCTCGGTTTCGGCCACGACAAGATTCGGAACGTGACGTCCCGTGTCCTGCATGGCCTCCACGTCGAAGAATACGTGTAACGGAGGTTTTTCGTCATTGAGGTCGACACCATCCGCAGGAGGTGAAGGAAGAAGAGAAGTGGAGGGCACATCGTCCTCGTTGGAGTGCACGGTGGCCAAGCCGGCAGCAGCACCACGCAGAAGGCGACCAGGTCTTCGTTTGGCGCGACGTTCCGCCCGTTCTTCCTCGGGAGTTTTAGCCACTTGAATGAAGCACCGATGCGACAAGGCTTCGACGTAATGGTGACACGAAGGACACGTGACGTAGCCACACCGGTGTTCTTGTTGCTGTTTGCGACCCACAAGGAGTTTGCGACAGTTGCCGCACTTCCTACGACTCGTACAGACGCTCAGTTGCTGGTGATCCGCGGTCTTCCCACTCTGTGTCTTAGACACGTGATTGGTGAGACACGCTGTCCCATAGAACGTCCGTCTACATGAATCGCAGGTCTGCATCGCCGGAAGACTTCGGCATCGGGCCTCGGTGTAATCCGGACATCCAGTCTGGAGACAGGCACTGCAGTGGTCCGGGTTGTTGTCGCAGGCGTGGTGACCTTGGTTGTCGTAGGGTTTGAGACACCTCGCGCAGAAGTAGGAGGTGCCAAAGAATCCGGGTAGAGAAGTGATGACGTCGTAATGGCCGTCGTCGTAGAGGAGGACGAGCTGCTTTTGTGAAGGTGGGCCAAACGACGTCACGACATACCCGCGCGTGGCATCGCAGAGAAGAATTTGATAGTCGTAGAGAGAAGGAGCAAGAGAGAAGGCTCGGAGTTCGTCGTACCCACACGGACCTCGTGGAACTCTCGTTTCGTGATGAAGGTCTACTGCATGTTCTGCTTGGATCCTTCTACCTCTTTTGAACCCGTCCCAGTTGGGGTGTTGATCAAGTCTGGCTTTGGCCGTGACGATGGCTCTGGCGCAACAAAGCTCGTCTCCGTTCTTAATGAGGAGCACGGACAGCTTCTTTTTCTTGAAGGACGTCAAGGCGGAATGGCCGGGTTTCAACTTGCGTTTGCGACCGGAACCCGACGGAGGCGCGCGCACGTGCGTGAAGGAGAGTTGGAAGGAATCATCCATTTCGAACTGTTCGTTGGAGTTGAGCATGGCGCTCATTTGTTGCAGAAGGGCGTCCACCCGCGCCCCACCTCGAAGCCATTCGTCGACCGTCAGACCGCGATAATTGTAAGCGTGGGATAGTCGATTACTCGACAGTCCCAGGTACACGCGATCTTGGGCCGGGACGTGGTCTTGTTCGATGAGACGACGGACGGCAGCATGCAGGGCTTCGGTAAGAGCCGAAGGTACGTGCTGGGAAGGAATGAACGCACCGCGTTGTCTCAGACGCGTGGTGTAGTGTCGCTCTCGCACTCCCATGCGTTCACTCCTGCGATCCACAAAGGGATCCAAAAGAAATTCGAAAGAACCGGGAGGAGCGGAAGAGGAAAGGGCTGCGCCTCCCAGTTGAGATTGATAGGAAAATTGACGGTCAAAAGCTTCACCTACCTCGTTCAATAGGACGTCCGCCACGTCTTCTACAAATTCATTCTCGCCTTCTTCGTTCCTAGCCGCAGCTAGTAGAGTTTCATCATCCACGTCTTGTACGAAGCTTCCAAAGTCTGGTGGTCCTGCTTCCATGTTGACTGAGGCAAAAGAGGAATACTGGGAAGGAGACTATACTTATATACCGAGTTCTACGTCATCACTCCATATTGGGAAGCACCTCCATATTAGGACTCAGTACGTGGTGTAGGATGAGGGAAGTATCCCCTAGTCCTATATAAGGGTACTGGTAACGAGTTTGTAGTGGTTACAAGAAGGTAGGCTTTTTCGAAGGGACACGTTACTCAGTGGTAGGAGAGACGAACAAATGAACAACATGAACGGAGACCTGGAAGATAATCCCAAATGGGCAGCCTTGTACCTAGAAGACATGATGGACATTATGCAGCACCGAGCGGACGAGGATTCCTTGAGACGAGTGGTACGCTATGCCAAAGCTTACATCCGCGACATGACGGAAGAGGAAGACGACAACGAACTGACGGAAGACGAGAAGCGGTTTCTAATCCTGAGGAATCAAGTCATGCGCGCCTTTAAGAACTTTGACAAATTTTGAAGTTGAAATTAGAAGAACTTTGTACAAATTTTGTTACGATGTACGGGATTTGAACCCATGACCTCTGCGAATTGCGAAGATTGTAGGGTCAAGAAGGAGGAAGAAGTACAAATAAACATCCGAATGAATGAAGATTTAGATATATGAAAATTCACATATTTGCAACGGTGGAAAGATGAATTTAGAGAGAAGCTAAGAACACTATGAAACTAGTAGTTGTAAGTTGAAAAAAAAAAACAAAAAACAAAAAACAAAAAAAAAAAACAAAAAAAAACAAAAAAAACAAAAAAAACAACACTCGTTTTTTATTGTTCCGCTTTGAGACTTTTGTTACAACACTCGTATTTTATTGTTGTTTTTTTTTTTTTTTTTTTTTTTACAATGTTAATGAAACCAAAAATTCGGTAACGGTTTAGTTTCCATCTGAATGGTTCTCTGAAATAAATTGTGTAATTCTTGTGTCATTTGAAGAGTGATGCGTCTGCTTCCCACGATGGTAGTGTTTTGGGGGTGTAGGTAGGGCGGGTGACATGGGACAAATCTCTGTTGCGGGTAGTCGAATTGGTACCACCGGTCTGTGTAGACGCACACGGGTTTTTGTTGCTCCAACGCCATTTGCACGCTCCAACCGGTTCCTCCCTGTAACGTGTGGGGTTTGGTTGTGTCGAAATGTCCGAAGGCCAGCACGAGATTGGTATCCCTCACCACCCAATAGTTTCTCTGTAACAGTCCCGTCTTTAACACGTTATTGGGTAGAGAGCGTTGCAACGTCTTGTTGGCGCGTAACACGTGCTGCAAACCCTCGTGCAACATGCTTTCCGTCAAAGGCGTGATACGAACGGCGCGGGAGTGAGTGGGCGGAATGATGACGCAAACACTCATGTCATACCTTCTGGCCAATTCCTCGGCGAGAGCATCCACACCTTCGGCGCCCCCAGTGTACAGGACACGCCCATTCAAAATACCCACTTCCATGGGGGACGTCATCCTTAGCATCTCGTAGGCGCAACGACTTGAACAACTGGCACAATAAGTCTTCCCAAGCTTCGTCTCTTTCCCTCTCCGACCGCGATCTGGAATAAGAGTAGAATGATAGCATAATGACGTTCGATACTACAAAACCTGCTTTCTTTTATAGCAGGGACATCACGTACGCTTCGACGCATGACCAAATATGGTCATTGGAAGAGCACGTACGACGCAGTAGCCTGCCATATACGGAATAGAACGACGCATTGCCCTACCATTTATGGAAAATGACCTTTGATACGACGCTATCTAAAAATAGGAAGGGTATTGTTCTCTGCGGTATATAGGTGACCTTCATTTACCTGTCAAGACATTCGTTGCGGAGCAGGAAAGCAAGAACCACCAGAAAATAAAATGGCCGACAAACAGAAGCTCACCAAAGGAAAACGAGCTGTCCCTTACAGCAAGAAGAAGGCGCCCGCCAAGAAAACCGCCAACGAGGAGCCTGCGGACGAACAGTACGTGGACATCGACCATTACGATTACACCGAGAAAGATTGGAAAGTGGTTCCACGTCCTGGGCGGGAAAAAGGCAGACGAGAGACTGTAGTACCCCAGCCTTCCGCGAGTGCTCTACCCTCTGAAGTACCAGAAGAAGAAGAAGAAGTAATAGAGGAAGGTGAAATCGTACCGGGCGTCGAAGGTACAGGTACGTTTCACTATTCCTCTTTGGATGAGTTATTGGATAGCGTGGAGGCAGATTCCTGGTTCCCATGCCCCATTCATATTACCCAAGGAATGGAAGAACGCAAGTCTAAAAAAGAAACTTGTACGGACGTGTTCCTTCGTTGTAGCGTGTCTACTTGCCCCGTGTTTTGTCCCGCCCAAGACTACCAAAAGTATTACGATCTGTGTCGTGCCCAAGGTCACGATTGGTTTACGTTGGACCGTATAGATCGAATGGTGTGCGAATGTGGTCGAAGCCCCACGCTGTCCATTTCCATGTCTGAGAAGAACAGAAACAGAATGTATCTGAGGTGTGCGTTTAGAGAGTGTGACCTCTTTGCATGGTGGAACACGAGACCCTTTAAGAAAACCCAAGAGATACTCATGGCTCACCCCGAAGGTTCTCATTCACAGGTGAACGGTACCGCTGTAGAGTTCCCCGATACCATGAAACGAACCCATCCCCATTTGCACGGAGACGTTAGGGTTAGGAGTTAGGGTTAGGGTTAGGGTTAGGGTTAGGGTTTAGGAAAAAGTATCACGACTTTTGTAGAGAGGCGTATGTCAATGGAAACGCTCCATTTCGTTTTTTTTACGATTAGGATATGAAACAGATGATGATGAATCTACTTGTACAGACTGTTAACGTTAGGTTTTTTTTTTTGTTCGTTGTTACAGATGAAATTGGAAAAGATGATTTAGTGGACGTAGGTGTGTGGTGCGGACCTACATTATTCTTAAAACTTTGCCATTGTTTGAACGTCACGCCCCAAACGAAGGACGAACTCTTAGATGAAGTGTACAAAAGAATTTTTTCATAGTTTTTTCATTTGTTTGTTTTCGTTAGGACTACGATTTAAAGAAGGTGTACCTTCTGATGACGTTTTGAAATGTATTGCCAAAGCGTTGGCCCAGGAAAAGGTCGAAAAGGTGACTCGATTCTTCTGTATTTTAATGGACCGACCTTACGACGATGTATTGAAAGAATTATTAGAGGAGCAATAAAAATGTGTGAATGTCGTGTCTTGGTTCATTTCTTTTGTATCCTATCATGGGTAAAAGACGTAGTGGCAATAGACCCTCACGAAGGAAGAGGAAGAAGAGAACTTCCCAAAAGGGTGGGGCGTCTGTACGTACCGTGAATAGAATTTTAAATCGAGGACCCTCCGCAACAGATAAAGCGGCTTATGTGGTTAGTATGTTGTTGTCCGGACCCGCCCCAGGATTCGGCACCTTGGGAAGATTACTGGGTAAACAAGTTCTTAAGGGGGTCATGGACAATGTGAATCATTATCGAGGTAGACGCTGATCATGGAAAGAGCTTTCTATTACCTACACTATAAACTCTCACACTGGGTGTGCATGAAGATCAGGGACGTTGTGTACGAACACGAAACCCCGCATAAACTCAAACCGTACGACTGGGTACCTATGGGCTTGGAACACCACGTGTTTCGCAACGAAGTCCTCCCGCACAGGTTTCCTATACGTACGAGGATCTTCCACATCATGACCTTTATGAGATTCTACAAAGGAAGATATACAAAATACGTTTGGCAGCAATTGTACCTTCAGTACTTTTCAAACACTTGGCTCCTCTACTACGCCTACATCCTCTACCTCAAGTTGCTATGTCTAAGAAGATGGAACGCTCTGGGAAGAAGAAGAAGAAAGTAGAGGACTCGGACGATCAAGATTATAAGAAGAAAGTCTTATTGGATTATTCTACGCCTGGGGTGGTGGGTAATCTGGGGAGTGTCTCAGAGTATGCCAAGGCTCAAAAGATATCGGTCGGGCGTGCCAAGAGAGAATTGGAAAAGAATCTTGCCTATACCCTACACAAACCCAGAAGGCGGCGCGGTGCCTTTCAACCCGTTCTGGTGTTCGACATGGACGAACAATGGGTGGCCGATCTGATAGAAGTACAATCGATTGCCAAACAGAATAAGGGATATCGCTATCTTCTCACTGTCATTGATGTGTTATCCAAATATGCGTGGGTGCAATCGCTTAAGAAGAAGACTGGAAAAGATGTCACCAAAGCCTTTCGACGTGTACTCACCCAAGCCGAAGGGAGAAAACCTCTTAAATTACAAACGGATGCGGGTAAAGAATTTTACAACGGAACGTTTCAGGAGCTCATGAAACGAGAGAAGATCCATCATTTTTCGACGCACGGGGATGCCAAGGCTAGCGTCGTGGAACGTTTTAATCGCACCCTGAAATCCAAACTCTACAGATATTTCACGGCCGCCAACACCCTAAGATTCGTAGATGTGTTACCCAAACTCGTCCAACAGTATAATCACACCTATCATAGGAGCATAGGCATGGCTCCTGCCAAAGTCACACTTTGGAACGTGCAAGACGTATGGCATCGATTGTACGACGGACGCTTGGAAGAAGGGAAGAAACGACGTCCCGTGTTTAAAGTGGGAGATAGGGTACGTCTCAACAAGAGATTCAGATCTTTTAAGAAAGGCTATTTACCGGGATGGACGGAGGAAGTGTTTGTCGTACGTCAAGTGGTTCCCTCTTTGGGCGTCACGACCTACAAGGTGAAAGAATTGGACGACACTCCTTTACAGGGTACCTTTTACGCCAGGGACTTGCAAAAGGTGACAGTGGACGAATCCTCGTTTTTTAGGGTCGAAAAAGTGTTGAAACGTACCAAAGATAAATTGTACGTCAAGTGGAAAGGGTATCCTGCCAAATACAATAGTTGGATCCATAAAAACGACGTGAAATAAAAGATGCTATTATTTGTACGTGTGTTGTTATCATGAGAGGAGGTACGTTGAAACGATTCGTGGTGTACACGCCACCTCATCATCCCGTCCCCCAAAAGGGAGGTAGTTTGTATCGGTGGGGACGTCCACCACCCTTTGTGGGTACGTGGTCCGGTACTCATCATCAAGTGGGGAGTGGTATGAAAGAAATGGCACAGGATTTTTTGCGAGAAGTGAGGACTGGTATTAAAAGTGGTGTTAAGAAACGATCCCTTTCAGAAGTGAAACGTGGCATAAAGAGAGGAGCTAAAACGGCCCTCAAGAACGAAGTCAAGAGAAAAGTGGCCAAAAAAATCAAAGACATCTTCGGAGAGTAAACTAATCATGTCACGCGTCCGTCAAGTACGTAGTAGTCAGCCTAGAATCGGCGTGGGGACCAACGATCGCATCTCTACCATTCTCCATAGGTATTCGCATAGAAGGAAACAACAACGAGGTGGATTTTTAGTACGACGGGCTCCTTATAAAACATCCTCCTCGCAACGTCACCGTCGCAAACGCACGAGGAGGCGACGACGATAACATGATAAAGTCAGCGCAACATAACCCGAATCTCTCGCTCTTTCAAGTTCCACCCACCGATCTCAGTACGGTGAGTTTGAGATGGGTGAAAATTCCCCCTCTGACGTCGAGTATCACACCCATTCAAATCTACATCGACAAACAATCGGATCTCATTGATTTGTCGCGATCGTTTGTGGAAATAGATGTGGGATTCAAGACGACTGCAGGTGGCAATCTCACATCCCGCAACGACGATGTGGGAAGGATGACTTCTTTTGCCAACAATTTGGCCCATACTCTTTTCAAGCACATCAATGTGAAATGTAATGGAACGCTACTCACTGAACAAGTGGACATGTACCATCATAAAGCCTATCTCCAGACCCTACTGAACAACGACAGAAATGATGGAGACACCATCTTACAAGCCACGAATGGAGGTTGGCGAAACGAAATTGATTCTCCCGTCACTTACACAGCAACGAACGTCAAAGGCGACGATGCCGCCTTTGCGGCACTCTCCGACAATCAGCAGGCTAGCATCAAAGCCCAGAAAAAGGAAGCGAGAGATTTGTATTCGGAAGGAAAGAGGCGTATTCTGCGTATGAAACCCTTTGTGGAAATTTTTCATCAAGGTAAATGGATCGTACCCCGCACCAGTTTTGAAATGGATTTCTACTTGAATCCAGCATCCATTTTCTCTAATGGAGAGTCTAACCCGCCCACCGAATCCGTGCGCGTGCACGCTGACGACATTAAACTTTCCTTCTACATGTGTCTCGTGAAACTCAATCCATCCACCTACATGGATATGATGGGCCTCTTGAGTAAATCTGCGGCCCTCTACCCCTTCGTGAGGACAGAAATGAGACAATACCCCCTGGACAATGGAGCCACCTACAAAGAAATCAACAATCCCTTCAATAATAAAGTCCCACAACGATTCTTACTAGCTATCGTGGAAAACTCAGCTTTTAATGGTAGATACGATCAAGATACCTTTGCCTATCAACCAGCAGGCATAGAATACATCAAACAAATTGTAGATGGGGAAGAATATCCTTACGAAACTCTGGAATTGAACACGGGGAATGGTCGAAAGGATGTGAGGGGGTACTACAGATTCTTGGAAGCCACAGGATGTCTCCAGCGTGGAAGCGGAAATATGGTGCGATTCCTGGATTGGGGGTACGGTAAAAACGCCACCATCTTCGCGTTTTCAAACGTGCCTAACGGTAGACACGACGATCCCATCCTATTGCCTAGACCCCAAAGCACGATCAATCTACGTTTGAAATGTGCTGCCCAACAGAGTCAAAAGACCATCATACTCATGTCCGAATATGAAGGTTTAATAGAAATTGACGGTATAAATTCCACCACTTCCATGAGTGTGCACTAAGCGGACAGAACGGGATGGAATTTGTGTGGTTAACCACCGATCAGTTGAATGCTGTGGCATCGGGGGACATACACTTGAGGAATGCTTTTGTGGGAACCATGGCGTGTGATCAATTACCCGAACATCCGGAAAAATTGGATCGTAGAGCATACATCGTGAATACGGATCCTTCCCACTTACCTGGACAACATTGGTTGGGCGTGTGGACGGAACACGACACCTGTGAAGTATTGGATAGTTACGGACTTCCTTTTTCGCATTACGAACATTTGAAACCTTTCATAGCGTGGCTCAATAAATGGTCGTGTGTGCGCAGAAACGATGCACCCATACAGTCGATCAAAACAGCCAGTTGTGGAGACTATGCTCTCGTGTATTTGATGTATAAAGCGAGAGGTAAAAGTACGGAAGAGTTTCTCGAGTTATTTTCTGAGCATGATCTTGTAAGCAACGATGACAAAGTAGGAGACATCTTGGAAGATATTGTAGAGAACGAAATAAAAGCTTTTGAATAAAACACGCGTGTTTCATTTGAATCATGAGTTGTGTAGAGCAAGGTTTTACGTTTAAGTCTCCTTCGAGCATTTTGGTCGTGGGACCCTCCAACTGTGGAAAGACCACCTTCCTAAAACGTCTCTTATTGGAAAATGAGGACCTTCTCGCCACGCCCTCCAGAAGAATCGTCTACTGTTACGGGTCGTGGCAACCGACCTTTGACATCCTAAAAAAGGAAGGCGTGACGTTCCACGAAGGTGTACCTACCCACGAACAATTGAAAGAATGGTTTGGGGACAAAAAAGGGGGTCTCTTGATCTTGGACGATCTCATGGCCGAAGGAGGAGACGACAAAGATATCCTAAATCTCTTCACTCAGTATTCGCATCACATGAACGTCACCGTGTTTTATCTATGTCAAGACATGTTCCCTCGCGGAAAATATGCCAAGACCATCTCTAGGAATGCTCAATACATAGTGGCGTTCAAAAATCCTAGGGACCAGGTGGCCTTGCGCACGCTCTTACTTCAAATGTATCCCACGACTTGGAAAGACCCGTTGGAGCAATATAACGCATGTACGGAACGTCCCTTCAGTTATTTATTGTTGGATGTACATCCTGCTACTCCAGACAATAGAAGATTACTGAGTCACTTATTGAAACACGAAGGTTGTATCCGTTGCTACAGATAGGGAGAGAGAGAGAGATAAACGGATTCCAGTCCCATTCGAATATCCAATGCAAATCACGACAACCTATAAAGATAACGGACGTCCCACCGTAACGCGCAATTCTACCAGTGTACGGAACTAAGCAGATGGCACGTCCTAAAGGTCGAGCACGCAGAAAACGAAAAAGAAGAGTACAAAAAGGAGGTCTCGTACCATTGGCAGCTGTCATTCCGGCCCTCATATCAGGCGGCAAATCTTTAGCCCTCAGCGGAGCTGCTTACGGTGCCAAAAAAGCCTTGGGTAAAATAATAAAGAAAGTCAAGAAGAAGAAGAGACGATGAAACGCATTGCAAGAAATCTGGATTTTTTGAAATCGATTCTACGCGAAAAGAATCGCCACAGACGACTGGAAAAACTCTTGCATGCCAATAAAGATCAGATCAATGCCGTGAGTGAATTCACCATTAACATGTTGAAGAATAACTTCCCCTTACCACCACACGTCGTGGCAAAATTACGAAAGCACAAAGATAATCTGAGGGAAGTTTCGAAACGCAAGAATTCCTTGAAGATACGTCGTCAAGTGCTCATGAATCAAAAGGGTGGTAGCTTTTGGAGTGGTCTGAATGAAGCGCTTTGTTGTTGCATGAGATGAAAAGAGGTAGAGGTTCATTCCATCTTCGAGTAGGGAACTACGACATAGACATAAATGGGGTGACATGTAACCCACGTTTCAAACAGTGGTTTCGTCGTCTGTGGAAGAAACATATCGCCGTTCCTCTTCAACACTTATGGAAACGTACATGATGATAAAACCCGACGAATTTCGTACCTTGGTAGACTATTACAAAGGAAAGATTTCAGAAAGTACCTTACTGGACAAGGCAGCGCGAGTGGCAGCCGAAGCTCAGATTTTGATAGATGATCCCAATACCCCTGCCGCCTTGAAAGAACCTGTGGTGAAAGAGATGTTGAAGGAAAAAAACATGTTAAACGATAAACTACGACAAGGACCTTCGGTAGCCATGACTGCCCCTGGAGTCCCTCGACCCCCTGTCGACGACGACAAGATGGATGGGTTACAAGAAAGACTGTTGAAAGAATTGGTAAAATCCATAAATGCCAACACACAATCCATTGTCCCCCAAATCACCCAAACACCTTTGACGGTAAAGAAGGAGGAGCCAAAGCCTAAGAAAAAACGTAAACAAACCGAAGTCGAACGATTGAAAGAGTTCGGTTCGTGGGAACCTTGGGAAAAGAGAGGATACGATCCCTATCAAACATTTCAAGATGACGAAGATCAATACGCACCAAGCACGAGCCAAGGGAAGGGGAAAAAGGGGAAAGGGAAGAGCAAGAAAAAAAAGACCGGTTAAAAGATGTCCTCAATCTGGAGGTGGTGGTCGTCGTCCTTCCAGGAAGAGAACACGCCAGCGAGGTGGAGGATTGGACATTCAAAAATGGATCTCTAAATTGGGAGTAGAGTTTCACTGGCCGGGGTACCAGTACATGGGGCCGGGCACGAAACTAGAAAAAAGATTGAAACGCGGGGATCCTGGTATAAACCGTTTAGATCGACTCGCCAAACAGCACGATATCGATTATTCTCGCGCCACGAGTCACAAAGACAAATTGATAGCCGATCGTAAAATGGTGGCGGGTATCGATCGATTTCCTGGAAAAAAGACAATGACCGAAAATATTGTGAAAAAGATCATGCAGGGTAAAATAAAATTAGGTTTGTAACGTACCCATGTCTCATTCTTGACTTTACTTAGCGACGCAATGAATACCTCCTACCCCGAATCCGGATTTTACGTCACTCTTCCCAGCAACGACAGCAGCATTAAGGCCTTTCCCGAAAACAAGAACAATTCATGGACG